CAGCAGGACACATAAACCAAGGGATTGCTTGAAAGCTTGAGCGCTGATTGTCAAGTAGGAGCAGCCTGCTCAAGACTCAACTGTTTCGGGTCCACCCATCCAACTTGTACAGCTCCTTCTGAAACCTTAAAAACCTCTCACCAAGGAATCAAGCCCTAAAATGAACTGTGTTTTTCTTAGAAAACGGTTCAGTTTTCTGAAGAATGCTTTAAATGAGTCAAACTTCTAAATTTTTAAAGCCCCATCCTGTATCACAAAACACAAAAAATACTAACAAGTAGGGATAAAAGACAAATTAAAATAGTCACAGAAAACTTCAATGGTTACGAATGAATTTAAATTAAAATAACTGAGGGAAATAATTTAACACTGCCATTTACAGAATGACAGAATGGTTTGGGTTGGAAAGGACCCCAAAGACCACCCAGTTCCAACTCCCTCGCCATGGGCAGGGACACCTCAGGTTGCCAAAATTATTAAAAATTTTGGCCTCGGAAAGCAGGCAGGGAATATAACACTCAAACATACGGTTTAGTAAGAAAGCCTCGAAGTTAGATAGATGCACAAGCACTACTTCACCGCTACAAATACACTCTGTGGTTCTCATTATAGGCGCATCATCACAGAACAGAACGACAATACCACCATAGCTATTACGTATTTCTACAGCCCTGATAACCACTGAACCCTGGAAATGTAATAGAAAAAGGAAAGGGAAAGTGCTACAGCTGCAGAACTGCAAAAATAAGCAACTCGATGGGGCTTAAAAAGGAAAGAGAACAGGAAAAACAGTGGACTTGTAAGTAAATTCACAGCATTTAATTACAGATCTGAAGCAGAGCCTGCTAAGTGTACAGAAGCCTTTTAAAGCACATGAAGTTTGCTTAGTGGAAAAGCCAAACTGGATTTATAATAAATAGCTTAATCTGGATTTCAAAGGGCACTGGATTCAACCCTCTGCTTCTATGCATAAGTACGGATTTGGTATCATTTCAGATAATGTCTTTGGTCTTAAAACTTTAGAAACTGAGCCTTGTTTGAGGCATAACAATACAATCGGCTGCTTTAACTTCAAAGGAATGTTTAAAAGGTTTCAATAATAGAAACATTCAGCTAAAGCAAGAACCAGATGAAACTGCAGTGACAGAAATATCACCATAAGTCCTCCCTGTTTTGCGCAGTGTGATTTCCAACGCACTTCAGATTACACAGAGACAGACTGCCAGTGCGGCTATTATGGGATCAGATGAACATGCATATTTATCATGAAAGTACAAAAACTCTTCTTAATATCTGTTTTAACAATGACAGAAAATATACAGAGTAAAGAACTGTTGGGGTTTTAGCCTTCATTTATAGTGCAACATGATTTAATAAAGAAAATTTAAACATGACATTCCATTTCCAGTTGTGGTGCAGTTGTATCCAGTTTTAACATTATTTAACTTTTTAAGAAATGAGAAAATCATCAGTAATTTTTTAATATAAAGAATGAAAGGCTACGAGCACCTACTTGACAAGCCAATGATGCAAAACCAAGACTGCAGAAAATAAAAACTAAGACTGAATAACCTATCTTATAACCTATGGGTATTCCTTAAGGCAGAATGTAAATACTTGTCATGTAATCCTTGCTCAACTAAAAATACCATAGGAACTGGCTTAAGGACATCCCTTCCAGTAAAACCCTTTTGCTATGGGAATCTGTATGCCATGTTTCCTGTAGTGGCATATATCTGGCTCTTGCTTTCATCTCTTAAACATGGTAGAAAACCTTCCGAGACTAGCAGCAACACCCTGGTACAAAGCTGGCGTGATGGAGGAGTCAGGCCCGTCATTGTTTTGTGATGATGACACAACTGCTTACAGACACGCTTTACAGAACCGTAATTAGCTTCATACACTGAGTTTAATACCCCCCCTTCTTACTCAGCACTATGCTAGGCTGTCTTTGACACAAACACCTGTAAATGAGTGAGTTTTATAACTCAATGATTAATGTCCATCAGCTTTAGTGGGAAAATCTCCCCCTGACCAGTAGTGTGCTATCTTCAGATAGACAAAACAAGTCACGAGAGACTGACTTCTGTCAATGGGTAGCTTTTATTAGGAAAGGGAAAAGGCAGTTGCTCTGGCTGGTGCTCTGTTGCAAATGCTGTTGCAAAACCCCTGTATTTACCACTCCAATTTTCTGACTACAGAAGTTTAATTTTAATTTACAAAAAATTATTTTTCCTATTATGTATATCCAAAGCGAAAAATCCTAAAGCCAAAATGCCAAACTGCTTTTTCCTCAGTGGTGTGTGAGGACCCCCCGCAAGGATTCCACAGTCTAGATTGTGTTCTTACAATCCAGAGATGTTGTGGATGCCCCATCCCTGGAAGCGCCCAAGGCCAGGCTGGACGAGGCTTGGAGCAACCTGGTCTAGTGGAAGGTGTCCCTGCCCATGGCAGGGGGGTTGGAACTAGATGATCTTTAAGGTCCCTTCCAACCCAAACCCTTCTATAATTCTATGATTCTATGAATCCCGATGAAATACTGCTTCCTTTACAGCTTATTAGCACTTGCACGGGTGTATGAACTCTGCATCAAGCAGAATGGTTCCTCACGTGTTCCGTGAACTGCACGTCAACAGTCAGCTACAATGGAGCTGACAAAAGGGATGCTACAGCCGCAAAAGTAATCCATGTGAAAAAGTGTAATACCAGTTTAGCTTAGCTTATCGCTTTCCACATCCCACTGTATTCCCTCTCTAGAGGGAATAAAAACCTCTCTAGAAAGTCTGTGGGTGCCAGCTGCGTGGGAAGAACGGGAGGTTAATCTTTATTGCTCTGTATCTCACTGAGCAAAAGCACTCATAGAATTTTCGGGAAGTTTTATGATAGTTGCTATAACCTCCAGCCACGTACCATCTATTTCTTGAGCTGGTGCAATGAAACTGCACCTTACGCAGGACCCGGGCAGTACCGCACCTCCCGTGTTTGCTTTAAACATCAGCACAGAGCCAGGCAGAGCGCAACTTCTCAGCCTCTAAGGTGCTTCACAACCGAAGCCTCAAAGAAACCAACGGAGCCAGAATCACCTAATGACCAACGGGGGCACTAATGGGTTGGATCCTACAGTGCTCTAACACACAAAGTCATCAAAGAGATTTAATTTACCTTGACCTTGTAGTACTCCTTGACTTCAGGCTGAATGGAATCAAAATCACCGCTGATGTAATCAGGCAAGAAGCTGAAAGGAAAGCAATGAGCAGTGAAATGAAAAATTAATCCATCTTTCAAATTTAATATTTATTTTCTCAAGAGCGCTAAGGGGTACAAGCATTAATCTCTCGGGGGAACAGGAGTTAGTTAAAAGCATGTTAAAACAAGAGTTGATACGAGGTGATACGAAATAAGGTAACAGATGAACTGTAAATCTAATAAATCTAGTGTCCATTCTCTACTGAGAGAGCTACACGCGTCTCCCCGGGTCAGCAAGGCAAGACCTGCATCTACACGGTTCTAGAAAGACAACTCTCAAATACCTTCCAAATGTATCATTCAGTCAGCAAAGCGTTTGAAAAACCCTATCTGTGTGCTGTACATCAACCTTCAGAGGATACCATTTGTCAGAAGATGATGATTCTTGGACAGCTGGCGTGCCACAAATATTCCAAAGATTTGTATTTTAGTTGTTACTGATGTCATCATTTCCGCTCTTCTTGCTTATTAAAAATACTCTCCCCAAAACATGGAAGCTAAATACTCAGGGATTTTAAGACATATTTTGGATGTACAAAATGTGTTGGAATTTGATTTCAAATGCTAACCATCATTTGTACAGTAATAGTGCTGCAAATCACACAGAAATTGTAATATTTTTCTCAACTTGCTTCTTCTCCCTTTTTTAATTGTGGAATACTTCAAAATATTTACTGTATAAATTCTTATCAAATTCATAATGAAACTTCATCTGTGCTACAGCGAGAACAGTTTAAGAATATTTTTTGGGAAAAAAACAAAACCCACAAACCCCCCCCCAGAAATAGAGGTTTCCATCTTGCACAGTTCCTGGAGTTTTAAGCAGCCTTCAGGAATACAGGTGAAAGTGTTGCCATTGTTTCAACAGAGAAGGCTGAACCGAGTTTTGATATTAAAGCTGTCATTTTGGTGGTCTTTAACAAATTAAATGCACAGCTCCTCTTCTCCAAGGTTACTACTATACGAGGGGTGTGAGAATTCATCAAGCCAATTAGTTTACAGCTCAAGCTGAGTTATGAGAAATGGGATAAAGCATGTTGGGGCATATTTTTCTCCCAGATGATTCCAGAAAAACACTACAGGGTCTACAAACTCCCGACATCAGTAAAACCTACACAAATCCCCTGAAATCTCTGAACAGAGCCAGAACACGAGATGTGTGGTCACCGGCCATCATTTCCTTGGAAAACTGAGAGCTGCTTCAGCAGAAGCTGGTATGTGTAGTTGTTTCAATTCGTTCATGTGCAACTATTGCATTTCAAATTCGTTGCCCTCTGCTCCTACTGTGGCTGCCATCAAAGGATATTGCCCAGAAAAGTTGTGGATGCCCCATCCCTGGATGTCTTTAAGGCCAGGCTGGATGAGGCTTTGAGCAACCTGGTCTAGTGGAAGGTGTCCCTGCCCATGGCAGGGGGCTTGGAACTGGGTGATCTTTAAGGTCCCTTCCAACCCAAACCATTCTGTGATTCTATGATTCCTGATTGAACCAAAGCCATTAAAAGCAAACTCACTTTAAGTGTTACAGCGGTGGCCCTGAATGCAAGCCCAGGATGCGTCCCACCAGGTTGGGCAGGAAGAACAACAGCCAGTTGTCACAGAAAGCCAACTCGGTATGACACACACATCCACTCCGCTGAAAAAGCTGATGTCATAAGGTTGTTTATCTTACTGAAATGCAGTACCTACATCCAAAATTGTCTCTTTTTTTCTCTACAGTAACTACAGACTGCAGTGCTTTTAAATAATCAACCATTCCTCCTGAGTGCCTCAAGGGGCATAACTGGGGGCAGAATTACCCAAAAAAGTATCTTCTCCTAATCAAATGCATCTGCACAGCTTTTGTTCTCATCCAGAGTAAAACCACTCCCATGACAAAAGCTAGCTGTGGTTCTGCCCCAAATTTTGCAAGCAACCATCATGAAAGATTTCAGCTTTGTCTTCAGAGGATGACTGCTCTTCATAGCTCGCTGAGTACACAAGCCAACTAGTCAGCACTAGCTGATACAGAAAAAGGGGAAGTAGTTGAAGTATATATATGGAAAAAACCCTCACACTAAAGTAACTTAAGAATATTGTGTAATAGTCGGTTTTCACTTGTCTGCTTCAGTACAGTTTTGCATTTACTCCAGAGCATGGAACATTCCAGGAGAACAGGCTCTGGAGAATCACTCATCAAGCTTAGTATTCTGTTAGAGAAAGAAATTGTCAGAAAACAGTAACAGAAAAGGCCCCTTCATAAAATTTAAAACAGCATCCCTTATTTAAAGTACGGATTAAAATCAGGTATTATATTAGTCTAAGCCATGCTTTCTTACCCTCTGACCTCAAAATCATGAATGATTCTTACCCTGTAGCGTAACTGTACTGAAGATGCTGTACATTTCAGTGACATGTATGGCACATACTCTTTAATGGAAGAGGTTATCTTTTTGCCCATGATGGCAAAGGATGTCTTTAATTCCTTTTCAAAGTGCAGTTTGAAATTTTAATTTCTAAATAGTCCAGATGACGCAGCCTACTGCATTTCAGAACCATATTTTACCAGTCTCATTAGCTGTTAATTATAACTGTGCATATAAGGTCATGACCAGCTCAGCTGGCTTGATTTTCTGCTGCTTTACACTGGCATTTATCAAGAGCGAGCCAACTCCATAATTCTAATAGGACCAAAAGTATAAAATTCACATGAGTTCAGCCCAGCCTACCAAGCCTTGCCGGTCAAGCAACAGAACACCAGGAACTGAGCAACAACAACCCCAAAGAGGCTTTGGCCCAGCTGGAGTTTTTCAATCTCTTCACTTCTCATTCTCTTGCCTTTTCTAAGGGTTGTTGCTTTGGTTTTGTTTGTCTGGTCTTTTTTTTTCTCTTCTCATAGGGGCATTGGAGAGTCATATGGCATCCATCTAAAATGAGTGTGGAGTCAGGAGGGCCAGGACTGCTTTCAGATAAGGACCTGAAGGCACTTCCACAGCAGACTGCTAATGTTTCATGGGCATAACTTAAAAAAACCAACAGCTAACCACAGAGTTTTGATATGAAACCTTTAAAGGTTTAGCTAGCTTACCAAGAAAAAACAGCACAATTTCCTGGAAGTTTTGAGATGGGTCACAGCTAGGGGATTTATCCAAACAGGTTGAAGGCTGGATGTTGACTGAACAGTTTTATGAACTCCCAGGATGCTGGGGCTGGAGAGGGGGAAAAAACCCAAAGAGATTCCTACAAGTTTGCCAAGTTTCAAGATACGCTAACAAAATTGTAGTCACCAGTACCATAAAACAATAATCTTAACACAGACACGGATAACAAAATACATAGAAGCTTTTTAAACTGAGGTTCTCAGGGTAAATGAGCACAACTGTGCCTTTTGCCTTCCAGAAGCTCATCTAATGGACACAGCTTAATTCAAGATTCACAGAATGACAGAATGGTTTGGGTTGGAAGGGACCTTAAAGCCCATCTAGCTCCAACCCCCCTGCCATGGGCAGGGACACCTTCCACTAGACCAGGTTGCTCCAAGCCTCATCCAGCCTGGCCCAGAAGGAAGCCAGGCCAAGAAGCAGTTTGATTTTTAAATATTCAACACTAATGAACAGCATGTTGAATTTAAAACATCAGAATATTTGGTTCTTTATTCACTCACTTTAGGAATGCAGAGTGGAGTGGTGAATATGGCTTTTTATACAATTATGAAAAAGTCCCTCCACACGATACTTTAGCAGTTTGTAATAAAAACTGCACTGCCTCCTTAAATAAATTGCTCTGGCATAACCGTTCGGTTCCATCATTAATTCAAAGTTACAGTTTCCTAGTACTATTGACTTTTCTCGTGATGTAGCTCCTTTAGCACATAATTGTCTGCAATTAACCTTTTTTAAACAAATCTTAACATCAGAGACATGAACATTTAAAGGCAGTATCTGGGCTACCCTTCGCTTCCTTCGGTCAGAGCAGAGCAAACAATCCTGCGCAGAGAAGACATATGTGTCCCAGCTGTATCATCCTTTAGGTTTAGGGATTAGGTTTAGATTAGATGTCAGGAAGAAATTCTTCACAGAGAGGGTGGTGAAGCACTGGAACAGGTTGCCCAGAGATGTGGATGCCCCATCCCTGGATGACTTCAAGGCCAGGCTGGATGTGGCTTTGAGCAACCTGGTCTAGTGGAAGGTGTCCCTGCCCATGGCAGGGGGGTTGGAACTGGATGGTCTTTAAGGTCCCTTCCAACCCAAACCATTCTGTGATTCTATGATTCTATCTGAGGGCACAGAGTGGGTTCCCTATGCTTTTTATCACTTTTTAAAATAAATTTCAAAACGGGTGCCTTTTACCCTGGACTAAGACACACGCAAGCTGCCTCCCAGAATTAAAAGTACAGTGAAGACGAAATGCTGCAGATTTCACAGGAAGCAAAGTCTCTAAAGTCAGCCTTAACTTTCATATGAAGCTAGTACTTGGGAATACAGAAGCTGTAACACTTTAGCCTCACTTCAGGATTAACGATAAAATCACAGTTTAGCACAAAAGCCCCAACATGCAAATCTACATTTACCCCAAATCTACGTTTGCTAACTGCTAAGATGCACTTTCAGCTTGCCCTCCTGACTAGAAGGCCGAGCGAGGGCTGTTCTCACCAGAAAGTTGTTAAATCTGATTAAATCTGTCAGAAGAATGCTGTTTAGTGCTGTGAAGACCAAAGCATCTTTTGAACTCCCAGACAGGTACAGCACAAGGAGATGCCGTTTACCTTTTGTCTCGGAGCAGCGTGCTCAAACGCCCCGTGTAGCTGTACAGAGGTGTGCTTTTGATGTCACGTCGCCAGATACATTCAGCGTTCATGCCTATTAAGTCTGTAAGTACTTTCCCGGTCTCACCTGCAAGGTTACGACAGGTAAGGGTCACGGCTGAGGCTCAGAAGCCCAACACTAAATACCAATACAATTAATGAACTTCAAGCTGACTATCAAAAGGCATTTTGGTTTGGTTTATCTTGAG